GGGCATGTTTGTGCACTTGCATTCCTGCAAATGCAGAAACCTCCAATAGCTTAGTAATGAATGACTCATCACAATCTCAGATTTCTTTCCGGAGACAGCATTAGCCCGCCCAGATTTTTCAGATTGGCTAGAAGCAACCACTCCCTCCTTCTTTCCTTCCTTTTTGTCTATCAAATACATGAGAGGACAAAAGCGCATTTTCCCCTACTGGTTAAGAACTTTCGCTCTGCCTGCCACCTCTGATGGTTTTCACAGTGTGGCCCTGGCTTTGGCAACCGCTGTAACTATTATCCCCTGGGACGTAATGTAATTCCCTGCTTGCCTTAGGTTAACTAAACGCCAGAAAAGAGAGATGGACAAATATTTCCATTGTGGCTAACATGGGAAACCAAAAGTTTTAATCTCAGAATTATCCTTGTATTTCTAATTAGCACACATGTTGGTTCTTACTGATGGGGGCCATGTTTTCCAAACCAAACCCAAGGACCTAACATTTCACAAGCAAGAGAGTACCTTCAGGGACAGGCTACTCTATTAACTGGAATTGTTGAAGAAATTCCGGGGCTCGGCGGCCATAGAGCTACTAAAAATGGGAAGCACTTAAATGATAACGGAGCTAATGATCCTATTCCCCTTTCAGAATGCACGCTGTGAACATTTTAACATAGCAACGGGGGCCGTAAAGAGAGGTGATGGGAAGGGAAACTGGAGCTCTTCCAGCATCCGGCGAGCCAGCAGCGCCCACGGCGGCACCCGGTGTTTGTGCGGCCGGCGTCCAGCCCGGGAAGCCGCTTCGGGACTGCGCGTGCGCCGAGCCCGCCCGCGTTCCAGGTGGAAGGTTGCGCGTTTGAGCGTTCATGGCAACGCCGCGCTTCCGCCTTCTGGAAGCCTTGGCTCCAGCTCCCGCAGTGTGAGACCCGTCCGGGTGCGAGGGACCTGGGCTGAGTCCGGGGGGACAGATGGGGGGACGAGGGCGAAGGGGGCAGGGGAAGCCGCTGGGAACGTTTGCCCCGGGGAGTGAGCTAAACTAAGGAAAAGCGGTCCAAGGCTCCGCACAAAAGGATCTTTTCATTCCCGTCCTTTCGCCCACGCAGGGAACGATGCCTCTGGAAGTGGTGGTGGAACTACAGATCCGGGCGGTAAGAGAAGTCGACGAATCTCCACACCTTGCTTTAAATCAGACTCTTTCCCCAGGGTTCCTAAATGGTCGCGACCACTTAAACCACCTCCTCACCACACACATCATTATCTTTTGGGACAGATCGGATCTCTGTGTCCCTAAGATCTCTACACTGGTCTTCCCTGATTTCTTCACCTTTAGTTCAGCCCAACCTCTTTCAGCGTTTGACCCCCTCATAGGACTTGTTTGTTAGCTTTGTAAAATTTTCTATTATTTTAAAATAACCATGCATTAAGTCCAAGAAGAATTTTATTATTTTTCCAGGATAAAGATTTGTGAAATAATTAAAAACAAAATCAAAAACAAAACACCCTTCTTTAAATAACAAGAATTCAATTTCAGAAAGCCCAATCACTTCCTAATAAGTTGCCACCTCTATGAACTAATGGAATATATATATATATACTTTTTTTTTTAAAGATTTTATTTATTTATTTGACAGAGAGCACAAGTCGTCAGAGAGGCAGGCAGAGAGAGACGAGGGAGCAGGCTCCCTGCTGAGCAGAGAGCCTGATGCTGGGCTCCATCCCAGGACCCTGGGATCATGAACTGAGCCAAAGGCAGAGGCTTTATCCCACTGAGCCACCCAGGCGCCCCGGAATATATATTTTTAAAGATTTTATTTATTTGTCAGAGAGAGAAAGCACAAACAGGGGAAGCAGCAGGCAAAGGAAGAAGCAGGCTCCCTACTGAGCAAGGAGCCCAATGCAGGGCTGGATCCGGGGACCCTGGGATCATGACCTGAGCCGGAAACAGATGCTCAACCGACAGGCACCCAGGCGTCCCCTAATTGAATATTTTCTAAGTATTTTCCCTAGAGATGGCTCTGGCTTGCTAATTGCAAAAGGGGTCAATTAGTCAATACCTGTTTTATAAGAATCCTGCTTAAGTGAGGTGCTGTGGCAGAATGATTACATTGTTCCTGTTTGGGGTCAGTCACTACTCTGAATTCAGCTTCCATCTGAAGTTGGTGACAGACTGTCATATACTCCCAGCTATAGGGGCTTCTCTACCAGTCGTGATTACAAGCACAATGTCAGTAAGTTATGGTCACGGAAAATCTGGTTAGCCTCCATACAAGAGACAAGTGCTGGGGCTTCATCATTCATGCAGTTCTGAAAGAAAAAAATTTCCTGAATTTGGGGCACCTGGGTGGCTCAGTGGGTTAAAGCCTCTGCCTTTGGCTCAGGTCATGATCCCAGGGTCCTGGGATCCAGCCCCGCATTGGGCTCTCTGCTCAGCAAGGAGCCTGCTCCCCCCTCTCTCTCTGCCTGCCTCTCTGCCTACTTGTGATCTCTCTCTGTCAAATAAATAAATAAAAGTCTTTAAAAAAAATTTCCTGAATTTGTCCCATTTCGCTGAGAGCAAATAGGCCCAACTTGTGCTACATCAAGTGCTGACCCTCAAAATTTTGTGGTAAGGGGAAGGAATTCTTGAGAAGCTGAGTGATAAAGCAGTCTTCCTCTTAAGGCAAAAATCAAGTTTTCATCTCACTTCATTCAACATTACTGGTTTATTTTAATTTTTAAAAGGCATTCTTCAGTGTACAATTAATTTACAGTAAAATCATTTTCTACTCTATAGTAGAGTGTTTCAGAGACATCAGTTGAATTATCTGTGCTTTAAAAGCCTGCAAACTCAGGTCCGCATCAGCTAAGACAGGGAGTTCCAGAAGTATAACCAGGAACCTGAAGATAAAACTAATTGTGAGCCCCCAATATTCAGACTTGCGAACACTGCAAAAGGAAATAAGTATCATTACTTTCAAAAAGATCCGGCCTGAATATTGCTGGATTAAAACAAAAGATCTAAGATTAAACAATAAAGCAAATCACTTAGAGCTTTACAGTTTGATTCAGCGAGAGAAGAGGTAGTCTGTGTTCAGGATGTTATGGGAATACAAATGATTTTATTTTACTTTGAGGAGTAGCTGTTCTTCCGTGTGCCTCTTCCACTGAGAAAGTTCACATTTCTACCCAGTCAGAGCCCACATGTCACACCATTCTCCAGATTCCTGTGTGGCCCTCTAACTGACAGATCAAAGGCCATAATCCTCTCTCTTTATACATGTCAAAATTTTGTCATTATCTGAAAACACCAGTTCCAGAGGTAATTCAAAAGTTCTCATTTTTCAGGTAGAACAGCATTTAAAGCACATTCTGTTCTTGGTCTTCCCTGGTCAAAGAATAATGAGTAAAGTCCATCCTGAATTTGGTGGTCTTTGGTCTGGTGATTTGGGGAGGCATCCTGGAAAAACTGCTTTAAATGTGAAGGTCAACGTAAAGGGAAATTTAGGAGTTAGTTACACCTTGTGCCTGGTATAGCAGTGGGCTCCCCTGATGAATTTCAAGTAAATACTGTTACCTGAAGTGTGCTGTATACAGGGAAGTGGAATTCTATATGAAAAACTCTAATATACAGGGTCATCCTTGTGGTGGCTCTGAGAAAGTTTATGCCCTTGCACTGCAAAGAACCGTTATTTTCCTATTACCTCAGTTGAGGTAATCTTTATTCAGTAGAGATGATGGGCAGCAGAGCCCCATCTCCCGCCATACTGGCCCACTGACATAGTATATGGTAAGCCCACCCCCAGACTCTTAGTTCCTGACAGCCTTCGTTAGCTTTTCTGTCCTCTGTCATGCCACGCTATTTGTCATCAACAGAATTAAACATTTGGCCATAGTTCCATCCTTCCTTTTCTATCAGCACTGTGTTATGCCCACCTTTAAGTGTTTCTTCTTCAAGTAAGTTCTTGGCTTGTTCTCTAAATGCAAAAAGATACTATTAGAGAGAAATGGGAAATAAATATCTATTTAAAGAGTTTTTGAGGAGGTAGAGGGAAAGGAAAGCAAGATATGTACTATAATTTCTCTTATCACTACCCAAGCCACAAAGATGGAAGAGACTAAGAAAGTTTATCAAGAAAAGCAGGATTAAGAAGACACCGTGGCAACAGATTTTCAGGGAATAAATGAGAAAAACCTATGTCTTAGACTTTTAAAATACTGTTTAAAATCTACCTCAACCTAGTATTAGTAGGTGGCATATCTGCACGTATATTTACAGAATGAAGATCATAGGTTTTTTTTTTTTTTTTCGGAGTTCACTTTACAAGTGATACTTACAGGATTACTACAAAACACAAATTTACTTTTGTCAAGTTTTAAAAAACAGCACGATTACAGTCACCCCAGCTTGTTTTCTTTGCAGTTGTCCTGGAGATATAAGCAGTTATTGAATAAATATGTAATAGAGGGCTTTTTTTTTTTTTTTTTTTTGCTTTCTGTAATATGGCTGTGGTCATAATGGCTAGCATGTTCTCCAGCTTAGCAACCCATCAAGACGGAATGACACCTGAAATCCCAAAAGAAGCTTGAAATGTCCTTAAAGGGACAAGCGGGATTGCCTCTGGCTTACACTGGCTTCATCGCATGAGGAAACCTTCAGAACTCCGGGTGCCATAATGAATGAGATGGTGTCATTGTTGGTTCCAAAGTACAAAGAGGACCGGGGCATTGTGGGGTGAAAGCCAGCAATAGTCCACGATGCTGTACTGCGTGTAGCCCAGAAAAAAGCCAAAAGCCACATCAGTGACATTGTGCCGCCCCAGCATGACCCTGGAGAAGCCCACGATGAAAGCCCATAGGACCACAAGCACCCTCAGCGGAATGGCCAGCACCAAGTGGTTCAGGATGAACCGCGACACCAGGGCGGCCCTGGTGGCATGGCCCGAGGGGAAGGAGTACTTGTCCACTGAGAGGGTGACAAACATGTCCATCTGGTTGTGAGCCGGGCGGCGCCTGCGCACCAGCCCCTTGATCAGGGCCACCAGCAGCAGGTCCAAGAGAAGGGCGAAGAGCAGGTTCATGAGCACCTCGCGCCCGGCCCAGCTGTCACTCCTGGCCAGGCAGTAGAGGGTCCCCAGGAGCCAAGGGATGCCGTGTCCCGAGATCTCCAGCAGCTTCATAAGGGGCCGCATGCTACCCCAGGACGAGCTCTCCCCGGCGCACACCCCCAGCTTCTTGGACAGCCACAGGTCGATTGCTAGCAGGGAGCGCAGGGCGATGCCTAAGAAGGACGGATTCAGGTCCATGCGGTCTTCCTCGGGCAGCGGGATCGGGGCTGCCTGCGAGGGGCCCGCCCCGGCCAAGGGGAAGGAGCCGCGGCGGTGCACCGGGCTGTCGGACGCGCGGAGCCGGGCGCAGGTGGGGTCCGCGCCCGGCGCGCGGCTGCTGAGCAGCGACTGGAACTCGAACCTGCCGCCGCCGCCGTGGGCCGGGCTGCCGGGGCTGCTGCTGCTCGATGCCGAGGCGGCCAGCGGGCGTCCGTCCACGTTCCTTCGGGGGCTCGGCATCGCGGCGGGGGCCCCCAGGAGCCGGCCGGCCTAGCGCAAGGCTCCCGGCCCTGCAGCCTCTTCCGCTTCCGCACTGCCATCCCGGAGGGGCGGGGAGAGCAGCGGGCGGGAGGACGATTGTGACACCTGGCGGAGACGTGGGAGGAAACTGGAATTTGCACTTGAGGAAGGAGAGGACGGGGGAAGGTGGAGGTGTGGGGGCTCCAGGGGAAGGGGCGCGGTGGGGGTGGGGGATTTGACGTCGTCTGTGGGGGTTAAGGAAAAAACAGAGCTCCGTTTAGAAAAGCGTCACCACGCAAACCTTGTTCTCTATTTTTCATTTGTTTTTAAGATTTCTTGCCCAGGGGTATTCCTTCCTGACAAACAAGATGTGTACCTTGGGGTGTACCTCCTAAATCAGTACCTGGAGACGGACTGCTTTCCCTCTGTGTTCCCTATTATGATTCAGCAGAGCATGAGGTTTGAAAAGGTAATCTTGACTTTCTTATTGCCAAATAGAGAAGTTTAAATGTTGTCTGGAGGTCATCTAATGGGTCTTATAAAGTTATTTTGTATATTTTCTTTAAAAAAGAAAGAAAGAAAGAGATGACTTGAAGGGACCTGGGCACAGGACAACCAGAGTTGGAGGGCTTGCTTTTGCATTGTAGGTCTGAGCCAAGTTCTGTCAAGCCAGCGCTAAATGCCCAGTGGATGTTTTCTATTCTTGGAATTCCCATGGCATTTTCTAACTGGAGCAGAGAGCATTTTCTGAATGTTCTTGGAGGTGTTAGAGGCAGCTGCATTACATTTATGACAGGGATTATCAGTTCATTAGTGGACCTTAGAAACAAACTTTTGTAGACTCAGAAAAATAATGGAAAAAAAAACCTGTATTCAGATTTGTAAAATCCTGTATCTGAAATCCTGTAACAAAACAAGCCTCCTCCGATTTATTGAATTTTCTTAGGTCATCCCTGGTTTATTTAGCTACAGTGATAAAGCCTAGGTTCCATTCTAGTGAATATGAGCATGATATTAATAGAACATTACGACTTTTTCCCCACTTTTATTTAGAACATTAATTTCATTATTATGCATCATGCACAGTCCTTTGAAGTTTTTGTTTTGGAATTTGAAGGCAGAATCAGTTTTATCTGATTCTTGATAAGCCTAATCATTTTCCCGGGAACAATATTGCTGAGTTGCTTTATGGATGAAGGGATGAGTGTGGGAAGGCTAGACAAGGTAGAGCCCATCACTTTTAAAGGTCTGGATGGTACTGTCCAGAAAATAACCTGTTTCCAACTGAGACTGGGAGAGGAGATGAGGATTGATTTTCTAAAAGGCTAGGGCTCTAGGTAATATTTTTTGAAATCACAGAAGAAATTTAAATAGAGTCTACCAAACTGGTTGGATAAGGGAGAGAAATAAATGGATATTACCTTGGGACATATAGTCAGAATCCAGAGGAACCCATTTCTACTATTTAGATATTGGTAGTGGTAGGAAGTGGGTGGTGAAAATCCAGTCTATTTTGAAATATTGCCCTTGTTTTTGAGCCGTTTGGGTTCATATTCCAGCTTTCTCCTACCCGGCCCCAGTTGTCTTGTGTTTGTCCCATTCTCTAGCTGCAGATACTTGCAGCAAGTATCCAAGACGTTTTCTCCTCTGTGGACCCTCTGTGTACCCTCTGTGTGACCCAGAACTGAATGTTCTCAGACATTTGGATAAATAAGAAATTGCTTATCAAGAATGCATGAGATGTGGCGCCTGGGTGGCTCAGTCAGTTGAGTGTCTGCCTTCGGCTCCAGTCATGATCCCGGAGTCTTGGGATGGAGTTCCACACTGGGCTCCCTGCTCGGCGGAGAGTTTGTTTCTCCCTCTCCCTCTGCCTCTGCCTCTTCTCCGCTTGTGTTCTCTCTCTCAAATAAAAAAGTACAATTTAAAAAGAAAAAGAATGCATGAGACATTCTGTTTGAGCAGTTACTCCCCAGGATCATAGTTGAGAAAATCCATAGACATGGGTGAAGTCAAGGGATGCTAGTACTGAAATATTTCAAGAGAAAAACCTCTCACCTGCAATCGCTTGTTAAATTGAAGTTGGTAAGACAAAAATGGATTATAGGGGACAGCCTCCATTTTTGTACTTAAAGGTGACTTGGCTTTGGATCAGGAGCGGATTTTAACCATGCTTAAATTTAAACACCATTTAAATCAGAACTTCAACGCCTGAAATCAAACTCTGCTGAAAACTTGGTTTCTTAGAGACTTCCAAAGTTCAGGTAGAAGGGCGTGTTATGCCTTTAATCTCAGTCCCCTCCCAGATCCTTCTGCTGAAGATCAAAATAAGCAGATTTGGCGTTGGCTAGAGCGAGACCACAACGTTTGTCTTGTACTTCACGATATACTTTAAACTTACGAGGCTGTCCCTCGCTCTGGGTATTTTGGATTCTGTAGGAGTCTAGCTACTAGTGCATAGTTTACTTTTTAAAAAAAATTTTTAATTTTTTTATGAATATATATTTTTATCCCCAGGGGTACAGGTCTGTGAATCGCCAGGTTTACACACTTCACAGCACTCACCATAGCACATACCCTCCCCAATGTCCATAACCCCACCCCCCTCTCCCAACCCCCCTCCCCCCAGCAACCCTCAGTTTGTTTTGTGAGATTAAGAGTCTCTGATGGTTTGTCTCCCTCCCGGTCCCATCTTTTTTCATTTATTCTTTTCCTACCCCCCAAATCCCCCACATTGCATCTCCACTTCCTCATATCAGGGAGATCATATAATAGTTGTCTTTCTCCCATTGACTTTTTTCGCTCATAGTTTACTTCTGTGTTACACATAGAGAGCATTTTTCTTACGTTCCTTTTCAGCACAACCAATTGCTAACATCATTTATTCAGTTAACATCATTTAATGAGTGTCTGTGGTATGCATAATTTTTTTTAGGTCCTCAAGCAAACTCTGAGGTTGATGCCAGATGTACTTTTAGGAACAAACTGTGGAACCAGGTCAAGTTAATGACACTTTGAGCAGTGGTAGATGCAGCTAACTCAGGCTTCCCTTGTACATGGTACTGTGTTCTCATTCTATAGTCATTCGTTGAACTTTTAACCACATTCCTGTTAAAGATACTCCTATTGAAGTTTAAAATAGTCTAAAATATTATATGGCTGGAATTGGCATGTGCTAATTATTTGGAAGAATATAATCTACAGTTTCTATAAACATACATTAATCTTTGAAAATGTATTTTCATCATTTTTTTTTCCTGCAGGTATTTGAAAATGCAATAGATCCTGGGGCTGTAGCAGACATTTTAGAAAGTAGGTACTCTCAAAACAAAATAACTGTTGTGTACATGTAATTGTGTGCACAGATGTAAAATTCTACTATATTCTAAGTTGTGATATTTCCATGTTTGAAATACATTTCCACATTTATATTCAGGAGAGTCTATGTCAAATTTAAATCATGTTTTTTATTTTATCACAAACTCTTTTCTAGATAGAGATGGGATTTATTATTTATTAATTTATTACAATTAAATGGTTTTTGTATCTTCACACAGTTGTATAACCATCACCATAATTAATTTTAGAACATTTTTACCACCACAGAGTGAAGCCCTAAACACTAATCACTTCCAGCCCTAGGTAACTGCTAACCAGTCTTTCTGTCTCTGTAGATTTGCTTATTCTGGATATTTCATATAAATGGAATTATACAATACGTGGTCCTTTGTAACTGGCTTCTTTCACTTAGCATAATGTTTTCAGGATTCATCTTTGCTACAGCACGTGTTAGTTCTTCATTTGTTTTTGTGGCCAGATAGTGTTCCATTGTGTGGCTAAACTATGTTTTATTTATTCACTCCTTGGTTGATGGAAAGTTGGGTTGTTTTCACGTTTGGGCTATGATGAATAATGTTGCTATGAGTATCTGTGTACAAGTGTTTTTGTTGACAAATGCTCATTTCTTTTTTTAAAAGATTTTATTTGTTAAATTTACAATTTATTAAAATTACAATTTATTAGAATTACAAGCTATCTTAGCTGCTAAGTTTGACAGAGTTTGACAGAGAGATCACAAGTAGGCAGAGAGGCAGGCAGAGAGAGAGGGGGAAGCAGGCTCCCTGCTGAGCAGAGATCCTGCTCCATCCCAGGACCTGGGATCATGACCTGAGCCAAAGGCAGAGGCTTTAACCCACTGAGCCACCCAGGCGCCCCGACATATGCTCATTTCTTGGGTACATACCTAGGAATAGACATGCCGGATCATATGGTAATTCTTTTTAATCTCTGCAGAAAATTTACCAAAGCAGCTGCATCGTTTCATATTGTACCAGCAAGGCGTGTGAGGGCTCCATTTCTCCACATCCTGGCCAGCACTAGTTAGTCCCTATCCTTTTGATTGTTAGCCATCCTTGTGGGTATGAAGTGAAATCTCTTTGTGGTGTGGTGACGCTGAGCATTTTTCATGTGCTTATTGACTGTATATCTTATTTGGAGAAATATGTATTCAGAACTTTTGCTTATATTTTAATTGTGTTATTTGGCTTTTTATTATTGAGTTGTATTATGTAATAGACTTGTAATATATGGAGTTCTATGTATGTTGTAGATATAAGTCCCGTATCAGTTGTACAATGGATAAGTATTTTCTTCCATTCTTTGGACTATATCTTTTCACTTTCTTGATGGTGTTCTTGGAAACACAAAAATTTTAAATTTTGATGAGTTCTGTTTTATCTGTTTTCTTTTGTTATTTGCACTTTTAATATCATAGCTAAGAAAGCATTACCTAATTCAAGTTACAGAGATTTATGTCTATGTTTTCTTTTAAGAGTTTTATAATTTCAACTTTTACATTTAGGCCTATGACACATATTATGCTGATTTTTGTAAATACCATGAAGTAGGGGTCCAGTTTCATTCTTTTGCATCTGGATATGCATTTGCCCTGGTGCCATATATTAATAAGAGTATTTTGATCAGGAAATGTGAGTCCTCCACCTTAGTTCTTTTTTCAAGGCAGTTTTTGCTATTTGGCGTTCCTTGGCTTTCCATGTGAATTTTAGGATCTGCAAGTCAGTTCTGCAGAGAAGCCAGCTAGGATGTTGATAGGCATTGCCCTGAGCCTGTGAATCAGCTTGGGGAATACTTCCATCTGAACAATATTAAGTCTTCCAATCCATGAACGTGGGGTGTGGTGAGAATTAGTCGAATGTAAGGAATTTGGGGCTTGAGACAATGAAGTGCTTCACATTACCATTGGAGTGATGGTTGGCAAAGATACTCCTTCTCCCTACTTGGTAAACCTAAAACTACAAGCTATTTTAGCTGCTAAGTTTCTTGGCATTTAAAATTCTGTCCTCATACACTCATATATTTTTCATAAGTCCACAAAAAGGCAATTTTACTTTTCTTTCATGTATTTCCAGCTTCTTTGAGACATAATTGACGTATAACATTGTGTGAATTTAAGGTATGCAATATGTGGATTCCAAACACTTAAATTTTGTGAAATGATAACTACCACAGCAATAGCGAAGACTCAGCACATCACACAATGCCGTTTCTTTTTTATTGTGAGAACATTTAAGACCTAGTCTCTTAGCAACTTTCAAATATATCATACAGTATTAGTAATTTTAAGTGTCTATAATTGCCACCAATATTATCTATTTTAAAGTGTTTTCACTTTTATATACCCACTTTTATATATAATATATATTAATATATAATAATAACAAATATATTATATATTACATATAATAATATATAAATATATATTTATATATAATATATTATTTATATATATTTATATATAATGTATTATATATATCTTATATATATATTTATATATATATCTTATATATATATTTATATATATATCTTATATATATATAAAACCACTTTTATATATAACCACTTTTAATACCATTTATGTTTAAATTACTTTAAGATTTGAAATTTATTCTTGTCTTTATAGATTTTGTACATGGGCTCACTCTATAAATGCCTTTTGGACTCAGGAAGTATAAAAAATGTGATATTTTATGTCTCATTTATGCAGTCAGAGAGTATACTGTTTTTTGTTTTGTTTTTTTTTTTTGTTTTTTAGATTTTTATTTATTTATTTGACAGAGAGAGAGAGAGATCACAAGTAGGCAGAGAGGCAGGCAGAGAGAGAGGGGGAAGCAGACTCCTTACTGAGCAGAGAGCCTGATATGGGGCATGATCCCAGGACCCTGGGATCATGACTTGAGTTGAAGGCGGAGGCTTAACCCAGTGAGCCACCCAGGCGCCCTGAGAGTATACTGTTTAAAGCAAGATTAACTTGTATAGGTTAATAGACAACAGTTGTATTGTGAATTTTTAAAAATGAGAAATTGATTATTATGTCATTGACTCATGAATATATTAAAATATGAATATATTAAAATCAGGGCATAAAATACCATTTACTCTCATTCCATGCCTTTGAATTACTGGGCCTCAAAATACCTAAATCATTGTTGGTACGGCACCTATTATTATTATTATTATTATTATTAATGTAGATGGGATGTTATGGCAGTCTTAAACTTAGCAATTAATGAACAACTCCAGCAATTTTTCTAAGTGTTAAAATCTCATTTTTTCCCTTTTAGGCTTCCTAACCAGGTTTGAATTAATACAGCTAGTACCTCCAGGTAATGTGCCAGTAAATACATTTCTAAAGTTGCTTATTTTATTTTGAAAGGACTTTGGCATGGTGGAATGGATTGGTATTTACAAGTTGTGCTTTCTAGAACACTCCTTTTTTTCTCCCACTGGTCTGTTGAATTCTGTCCATTCCTGGAAAAATAACTTTATGGGTTTGGTGGCAGTAAGCGTGAGCAGGCATTTGACTTTCTGTTTTTTCATAACTTTATCTAATTATCATCGAATAATAAAATCTTGGCTCAGTCTCTTTCCAGTTGTTGCCTTTGGCTTTGTTCTAATTTATGGGGCACATGTGGGTTGTAATACCCAAAGCTGGCTTCTGTGTTAAATGCTAGAACAGGGTTGGCAAACTATAGGCCCCAGGCCAGGTCCGGCCTGCAGTTTGTTTTGTATGAGTCGTGAGCTAAATGTCTGTGTTTTTAAAAATTGAGATTCATATACTGTATGTTTAGTTCATATACTACAAATTTCACTTTCGTCAAGTGTATAATTCAGTTGCTTTAGTATCTTCACAGAGTTGTACAACAGTCACCACAATCTTATTCCAGAAAGAAATGTGTAGTTCTTAGTAGTCCCTCTCCATTCCCTCTTCCCACAGCCCTGGCCGTGACTAATCTACTTTCTCTGTCAAATGGCCTGTTCTGGACATTTAATGTCAATGGACTCAGACAATCTGTGGCCTTTTGTGTACCCCCTTTCACTCTGCATGTTCTCAAGGTGCAACCATGATGTGGCATGGATCATTACTTCATTCCTTTTTAGGGCCACATGATGTGCCTTTATACGGATATATCAAAGTTTGTTTATACTGTTGCTGGTTGGTGGACATACAGGTTGTTTCCACTGTTTGAATATTATGAGTAACACTGCTCTCAACATGCATGTACAAGTGGTCGTGTGAGTACATGTTTTCAGTTCTCTTGGGTGTATACGTAGGAGCAGATTTTTGTGTTATATGGTACCTCTATGTTTAATTAAAAAAAAATTATTTATTAGAGAGAGAGCGAGAGAGAGAGAGCACATATGTACATGCAAGCAGGGGGAGGGAGAGGGACAAGCAGACTCCATGCTGAGTTCCGAGCCTGACACAAGGCTCGATCCCATGACCCTGAGATCGTGACCTGAGCCAAATCAAGAGTTGGATGCTGGGCACCTGGGTGGCTCAGTTGCTGGGTGTCTGCCTTCGGTTCCGGTCATGATCCCAGGGTCCTGGGATCAAGCCCCACATTGGGCTCCCTTCTCAGTGGGAGGCCTGCTTCTCCTTCTCCCACTCCCCCTGCTTATGTTCCCTCTCTCACTGTCTGTCTCTATATGTCAGATAAATAAATAAAATCTTCGAAAAAAAAAAAAAAAAAGTCGGATGCTTCACTGACTGACCACCCCAGGCGCCCCTCTGTGTTTAACTTTTTAAGGAACTGCCAAACTGTCTTACATTTTTGAGTGGTTAGAAAAAACTTTTTAAGTATTTCATGATGTGAAAATTATATAAAATTCAGATTTTGTTGCCCATAAAGTTTTATGGGAACACAGCCATACTCATTTGTTTAAATATTGTCTGTGGCTGCTTTTTTTATTTTAATGCTGGAGTTGAGTAGTTATGACCATATGGTCTGCAAAGCTTAAAATATTTACTGTCTGGCCCTTTACAGAAAAAATGCTTGCTAGAATCATGGGACTTTAGGAGGAAACTTTCCTGTTGTACCTTTGCTTTGTGTGTCTTTTTTTTTTTTTTTAAGGATTTATTTATTTATTTGAGAGAGAGAGAACACAAGCATGGAGGAGGGGCAGAGAGAGAGGAGAGGGAGAAGCAGTCTCCCCTCAAGCAGGGGAGCCTGATGCAGAGGCTGGATCCCAGGACCCTGGGATCATGACCTGAGCCAAAGTCAGATGCTTAACCGAGCCACCCAGGCATCCCTACCTAGACTCAACCATTTCCAATTCCTTTGTGATCTTTACTGTTACAGGTTTTTGCCTTTTCTACTCCCAAAGTGAAAATATCTTTACAGTTTTTACTTGCTGCAAAAAGCATTCCCAAATGATGAGAAAACCTTTATAATTTGGTGAGCCTGTTTCTTGCTGTATCTCTGTGGACAGAAGAACACCTAGATAAAGAATTTCTACATAATAGTGTCACATACACTTTCTTCTCTTTTTGGCCTCCCCATAATAGGAGACTGTTGCACTGGCATTTCTAAAAGCATAGATGAACATCATTATTTTTAATGACAATAAAGAATTTCATTAATTTACTTACATGTTATTGTAAGTCCATGAACAATAGAGACATAGTATTTGGGGTTTTGCTGTGGTTTCTCATTCTCAATAGCTATGGGTTTTTCCATTGTAGTATAATATCCTTTTTATTTTTTAAGATTATTTATTTATTTATTTGACAGTGAGATAAATCACAAGTAGGCAGAGAGGCAGGCGGGGGGGGTGGTAAGCAGGTTCCCTGCTGAGCAGAGAGCCCAATGTGGGGCTCCATCCCAGCACCCTGGGATCACGACCTTGAGCTGAAGGCAGAGGCTTTAACCCACTGAGCCACCCAGGTGCCCTTTCGTAGTATAATCATCCTTAAATTGATACTGTTAAACATTTAGGTTTTGTCTTTTACGTATTTATAAAAAATCATTTTTTTTCTCTTGGTATGTTTGTAAAGAATAGAACTACAGTAGTCTTCCCGTATCTGGGCTTCTGTTCCCATGGTTCCAGTTACCCATGGCAACAACCATGTTTGAGAAGCAGAGGACCCTCCTCCTGACATTGTCAGGAGGTCAGTAGTAGCTTAACAACTGAGTCACTCACCTCACCTCTTCTCATCACGTAGGCCTTTTATCAAATCACATCATCATGGGAAGGGTGATCTTGCACAGACCAAATTCACATGACTGTTATTATGGTGTATTGTTATGATTTTTCTATTTTCTTAGTAGTTATTATTGTTAATCTCTTACTAAGCCTAACTTATGAGTTAAACTTCATCATAGGTAGATATGCCTAGGGAGAAACGTAGTGTATATAGGACTGAGGACTTTCTGCTGTTTCAGGTGTCCACTGGGGGCCTTGGAACAGAATCCACTGAGGGTGAGGGGGTCCAACTGTACTAGACTGAACATCTGTAGCTTGTCACCTGGGAGTAAGCTGATCGCCAGCAAGTTTCCGTTATTACTGTATTCAGTAGTTTGTGGGATGCCCCTTGCCCGTAAGCCTAGCTGCTGCTGGATATTATGTGAATTTATTGTGTTTGCAAAGTAAATAATTTCTTCAAAATATATTTTACTATATGTGCTGGCCCCTTTTTAGATACGTGATTTAGATTTGTGACAACCTGAAATTTAAAATTTACTCCTTAAAAGTTTCCATTTTCCCATGATTTGTTTCTTGCTTTTCTTCTGTGTAACATGACTTTCATTTCATCCTTTGATTCCTTGTGGAGGGATGTCTGGATGTTAACATTGCACTTTGGTATACATTCCTAGGGTATTTTTATCGAAGTTTTAATAAGTTATGCATAATGCATATGTACGTCTCCTGTTCTCTTGTATTCTTTTGATATTTTATTTTTTCAAGATTTATTTATTTATTTATTTGACAGACAGAGATTTACAAGTAGGTGGAGAGGCAGGCGGAGAGGAGGAGGAAGCAGGTTCCCTGCTGAGCAGAGAGCCCGATGCGATGCGATGCGGGGCTCAATCCCAGGACCCTGAGATCATGACCTGAGCCAAAGGCAGAAGCTTTAACCCACTGAGCCACCCAGGCCCTCCTTGATTATTTATTGTTTGAATCTTTTGTTTTCTTAGGAAAGTGTGGGAGAAGGAAAGTGAGTCTCACAGCTCCATGAGCTAAAGCAGACGTAGCTCTGGAGGCCGTTTGAGGATCGTAGTTTTGCCCTGTTGGGGCTGTCCCCAGAGGAAGACACAGTTCCTGAGTAGTCGTGGGGACCGGGAAGTCTGTAGCTCTTTCTTCTGCCTCTTGGCCCTTTGGCAGAAGCAGGCCCTGAAAACAGGAACCCCACCCTGTGTGGATCTAAGGATAGGCAGTCACGTAATGTCAGGGCTTTCTTAGGGAGAACAGAGGGAAGATCAGAGAGGCTTTCTACCTGCTTTTCAGAAACTCTTACTGAATATTTTTCAGCCTGAAAGTGATAGGCTAAAATCAGGGTATTCAATTTTTTTCCATTTTTTTTTCTTTTTTGACCTAATTTTATATTCAAGCATCTATCAATGCAAACTGGCAAGTTATATTTCAGTGTTAATGAAGTAGAAGCAGGCCCATTTTGGTCTTTTTTAATTCTATAAGAAGCTTTAAAAAATAACCCAATATCTAGGGCGCCTGGGTGGCTCAATCAGTTAAGCATCTGCCTTCAGCTCACGTCATGATCTCAGGGTCCTCGGCTCGAGCCCCACGTCGGGTTTCCTGCTTGGTGGGAAATCTCCTTCTCCATTTCCCTCTGTCCCTTCCCCTGCTTGTCCTTTCTCTCTCTCTGTCAAATAAATAAATAAAATCTTAAAAAAATGTAACCCAATACCTAAATACTACTACTGTAAAAATTTAACTAACACAAAGTTTATAAAATAGTTAAAAGCCACATTCATCAACAACCTCTGACAATAATTACTACTAATAATTTGTTGTGTTGCTTTTTAGATGTTTTCATATATATGTATATGTAATGCATTTAGTGTATTCAAGGAAATCTAAAATACATTTATACATACTCACATGTATACATGAACATACTCTATATATTTAGTATTTAATATATGTATGTTTAGTATTCAATCAGTATACTGATTGAATATACATAGCCTGCAACTTGCTTTTTAAAACTTAATGTATCTTAGATTACCATATGACCAGAAATATCTGTGAGAAGGTTGCAGGAGTAGTTCAAGGCCATGATGATTGACTGGAGAACCTTGAGGCTGGGTGCATGCAGACGGGTTATAACTCAGAAGCTACTCAGATGTGAAATGGAGGCCATATG